GAAAAAATTAACTATATTCGTCAATATGCTTGTTTAATACATCGTCTGTTCTATGTACAATTACGAGAAAGTCAATGGAAGTATTATTATGATATTGGTATGCAAGAAAATATTTGGTTCAGCCTCGTATCAAAAAATTGGCTGCTATGAATAGTATGCATCATACTTATGGTTGCTCAAAAACATTAATCGTACAACGTCTAACAACTCTTCAACGGCAACTTCAAGAAGCATCACAAGCATTACAAGAGTTTGGAAATCCACCATTACCTCAATGTCTATCTGAAATGAAACCTTCATTAGATTTTACAACAATGTCAGCAATGGTTACAGTTGTTGTCGGACAAGGTGAACATAAATTAAAGCAACAATTTGAATATAATAAAAAAATGTTAAAATTAGACTCAACAGATCATCGTTTAGTACAATATGTTTATGATTTGAAACCTAATAAACAACAAATTCGGTCTATTCGTAATATATGAAAAGCAATTTATAATAAAAAAGCTTGTTAGCGCAGCTCCTTTGGAGCTGAAATGTGAAACTTTCGTATATCCTTCAAACCTATTATGCGAATGCATTATTTGTAAACTAAAACATAGCTGTTTTCAAATAATTCCGAAAGCATTGAAATATTGTATAGAATCTGAAGCCGTTTGTGTGCGGTTGCTAGGTCTGTAATGTTCTCTTCCGTTGTTATGTGTCTGTAATGTGGTGGAGAGAGAGAGTGGAAGCCGGAAAACCTTGACCTTAAAACTTACATCCATTATTTTCTTCGAAAAAATACGTGAGTTCCACAAAATAAATGGAAGAACAAATTGAGATATTAAAATATCGTATCCATTCGAATTGTTTACCACCAGCATTCAATCTTCTTGATTATTCACTTAATAAAATTGATAAAATACTTAACCGATCGAAACAATCTTCTACTAATGATGATGATAACAAGCAACAAACAATATTATCTGCTTGTCGTTTAAAAAAGATTGGCCGACTTAAATATGATATGCTTGAATTAAGTATAGCAGCTGGTAAAGAAAAAGTACGCTATTGAAATAAAATAGCGAAAAATGAAAAAAAGAAATTGGTAGCTATTACCGATAATTAAAGATAAACAATTCAGATTCAGATATATTCAAACAACTAATGGTAGTTATTGAAGCACGTGAAAAACATATGATCGAACGATCTGATTATATTACACAACAAAGATTGAAATCTTTTTTCGAACGAAGCTCCGGCATCACAGGACGATACAACGACCAATGATGGCGTCGGAGCAAATCAAAATTAATTATTCGAAACCATACGGATATGTTTCTTTATTTATATTTTGCCAATACTATTATAACATTATCGAATGAACAATTGCTTATTCCCATGTAAACACTAAACGCAGAAATTGTGCGTTTAAACGCGTTTTTCTTGTGAAACGCGTCTGGACCCAGTCAAAAGAGAATAAAAACCACGTCTGCACGCGATTTTGCACATACCGCATCTAAACACGACTGGACTAAGACTTCAAGCGCATCTTAACGTGTTTTGGTTTGGAATCGCGTCTCTAGTGAAACATTTCTTGCGTCTA